CCCTCTTTGCGGGGGACGGGTTCAGTGGCAACGTCAGGGGAAGGGTGGACTCAGGGGGGGATGCGTCGAGTTCCCAGCCGTTCGCTGGATGGGGCCCCGATAGCCCACCCCGCCCAGGAGAGCTGGGCCCCGTCGCCGCTCGATCGGCGATGCATCGCCGATTCGCGGTCGACGTTCCCCCCGCCCCCCTGGGCCAGCGCCTCCCCCCGGACGTTGCCCCCTTCTGGATGCGGTGCGGGTCTCGCTCGCGCGGCCCGCCGCCGCCTCGGCGACACTGGTCGGGGGTCTCGGCCCTCGACTCGGCTGTGGTGAGAGCGCACGCTCTCGCTCGCCCCTCCCCTCGGGCCCCTGTCGAGTGCCGGCGGCGCGGAGAAGATGCAAGGCAGCACCGCTGGCGAGGAGCCCGCTGGACCCCTCAGCGGGGGTTCGCGTCGGAGCTTGGCCAGCATCAGGAGGAAAAAACACACAGACACAATGAATCGTCGATTCCCCTAGAAAATATAGGAACATCTGGGAAGTGGGGGGGAGGGACAAAAAACCAGAAACTATACGAAACTATGGGGCATCCTGTTGTTTGTGTCTATTAATATGTGTGTCCCAGGGCCCCTTCACATCCCTGCTGCAAGTGGCCCGGGGGTGGCTGACCAGAGGGCGCCCGAGACGTGGCCTCCCGCTGCTCACGCTCCCGGCGGCCGCGCCTCGCGCGCTCGTCCCGCTCCTTCCTCCGATGGGCCTGTTTTCCACCACCATCACCAGAAGTCGGAGGGAGAGGGGGTCCTCCTCCTCGTCCTCCTCCGCCTCGTCCGCCTCGTCCTCCTCCTCCTCCTCCTCCACCTCCGTCCCCCCTCCAACTTGTGGTGGTGGTGCTGGACAACAGGGGCATCCTCCTTCCCTGCGTTGCCCGACGCTTCGCGACGAGGCTTCTTGGGGCGGTTCGGATGTCTCCCCGAAGCAGTCGTTTAGGAATGTCAAAGGCGGCGGGCCCCAGATAAGATTGCCCCAGGCACCCGCTGGCTGCCAAATCCAAGAGTGAACAGCACCAGGGCTTAAGTCGGGCGTGCCCGTCTACAGAAGGAATATTCAACAATAGTATCAAATAGTATTGTGACGATTTTTCGATTCTTTTCAACTATTTTTGAGTATTTTTGATTTTTCTTCCCAAATCCGCCTGTAGGAGGACATGCCCGGCCTAAACCAAGGCGTTGCCTCCTGTGAGCCCTCGCCGGGCCCAAGGACTGTCAAAGATACTGGCCCAGGACGAGACGCGGGTCCCGGGGACTCGAAGAAGAGCAAGGCAGCAGAAGCGTAAATTTTGGGAGCTCCGCACGGATTTCTCGGATCTGCGCTGGGCCCCCCTCCGACAGGGAGGGCGTCGACACTTCCCGGTCCCCGTTTTGGAGCCATCAAGACATCACAGGAGCACGAGGACACCGGGGACAGGAGCGTGACGACCATGGCAGGGGTCATTTCGATTCCTCCGATTCGATTCGAATCGATTTCGGTGGCGTCCGATTCCGATTCGATTCGACTTCGGATTCCGATTTGATTCCGATTTCTCATTGGAGGCCTGCAAGCCTGCCGATTTCCGCCGATTCGACTTCTCCCGACTCGGCTGCCGATTTCCGCCGATCCGATTCATTTCGATCGCCGATCCGACATATATCGATTCGATTCTGGGTTCTCCTGCCATGGTGCTCATGACGCTCGCAGTTGCCACCACGCGCAGTACAGCGGACGCTCTTCGGGGCAGGCCCGCGCGCGCGAGGCGCCTCCTCCTTCTCCTCTTCCTCCTCCTCCTCCTTCCCCTCCTCCTCCTCCTCCTCCACAGCACTTGTGCACCCCAGCCTCGGGCGGAGGCCCGAAGCCCGCAGGGCATGTATGGGCGGCCGCCCAACAGAAGGCCGTGGCGCTTGCCGTTCCCGCGAGGTCGTCCGCTGCACGACTCCCTCTCTGGACCCTCGGGGGTGGACAGACCTCCTACCCCGACACGTCGATGAGCGAATTGGCCGTGATCGGTTCGCGAGGGGGCGGCGCGGCCGTCATTTTTTTTTTTTTTTGCGGGTCCAGGTCCGTCGGTTTCGGTCCCAGGCCGTTTTCACTCAGGGGAGGTATACTAAAGGGAGGTTTGTCCACCGCCGAGACCCGCGGAGCTGGCGCTCACGCGTCAGATCCATGGATTCCGAATCCAGGTTGGCGTTTGCCCCATGTGTCGCTGGCTGGTCCCACGAGCTCGTCCGCTGCACGATTCCCCTATTGATCTCCGAGCTCCCTTCTGCTCCCCCCAAGCTTCCAGCCCTCGTTTGCGCTAGTCCTCACGCCCCTTCTCCCCAGGCATCCGACGATGCGTTTGAGAGGTAGTTTTTCTTTCGATTCCGGCAATTTTGCTCTGGGGGGGGGAGTGGCGAGGCCCGAACGGAAATCTGGACTTCACGCAAGTCGGGTTTCGCTTGCGCGTCTTCTCCGCCATCGCCGTCGGAAAAGGCGCTGGAGGGGTGGGGGGAGTGGGGGAGTGCCATTCGAGTAACCTTGCCAGACTCCAGAACAAGAGCGCGTTCTTTCTTCACTTCGCGGGCTCCAGAGGTCTCTCCGGAGGGAAAATCGATAGCAATAATAACAAACACACGCGAACTCTGCTGTTGGTGTAATAGTGAAAATACATCGTGGGAAAATACATGGGAAAATAATGAAAATAATAACAAACACACACACACACACATGGGAAAATCGTGAAAATACATCGGGGGTGGACAGACCTCCTACCATGACACGTCGATGAGCGAATTGGCCGTTTTCGTTTCGCGAGAGGGCGTCGCAGCCGTCATTTTTGCGGGTCTAGGTCCGTCGGTTTCGGCCCCAGGCCGTTTTCACTAAAGGGAGGTTTACTACAGGGAAGTTTGTCCACCGCCGAATGAAGGGGTAGAGGAACCTCATCCAAAGAGCTGTGTACACTGTCGGCGGCGCCCGGGGGGAAAGCGAGAGGGGTCGGGCCTTCTCGGAAGGCTCGGAAGTCCCCTGGCCTTCGGAGAAGTCTTCTGAAGCTTGCCCCGAAGACGCGGAGGCTCAGAATGCCGGAGGGCTCTGAAAAGCCCCGACGCCTTTTGAGAAGGCCTCCTCCTTCTCTCTTCCCCCCCTCGCTCGCCACCGAATTTGGTATTTGGCCCACAGCGCGGGTATCCGGCCCGGCGGCCGTTCGGGACGATCCGGGCACCCCGGGAACGCCTTCGGCGAGGCTCAGCTGCTGGCAAGCACCCGAGGCTGAAAAACCGCCGAGAACCAAGGAAAACGTCCGAAAACCTCGAGCCTCGATCCCGAACAAATTTTCCCCCTCGCTCGCCGGCGATTTTTGTGTTGGTGTACAGTCGGGTTCCATTAGTAGGTCGGCCCTGCGAAATCAAGGGTGCTCTTGTGTCCTGTGCATCGCGCGTCGTGTCCTCTGCGGCCGAAGGGCAGGGTACCCTTGCGTCCTGTGGTTTTGGAGGCCATGTTGCCGTCGGAAGAGTCTTGTGTCCTGTTGCGCGTCCTGTGCGCAATAACCCGCCTGTAAGGGGGGTTCTGTTCTGAGTCGAGGGAGCACTCGCCTCGCGCGACTCCTGTCCGGAGGCACTGCGGGGGACGCTGTGCGTTGCGAGTGCCCTTGGGGCTGGAGCCGCGCGCGCGTGCTGACTCAGGAGAGGGGGAGGCGCTGAATCAAACACGATACACGCGGACCCTTTTCAGGAGGGGAAAAAACACACAGACACAATTAATCGTCGATTCCCCAGAAAATATCGGGAAATATGGGAAGTGGGGGGGAAGGCAGAAACCCAGAAAATATGGGAAAATATGGGGAATATTTTTATTTGTGTGTATTTATTTGTGTGTCCTGGGGCCCCTTCATTGTCGGGCGATCGCAAACATGGATCAAGGGGGCGTGGATTTGCGACGGGTCCCCTTTCCATGGGAAATTGCAGATGTCTGCCGTCGAGCGAGGCGGCACCGGCCGCATTTTGATGGGGGGTGCGCCAAATCTATGGATGGCTAATCCATGCTTGCGCGCCCCCGCCGACCTTGGGCGCGGCACCTGGTACGCCCTGTGGCCGGCACTCTTCGCCCACACGGGAGTGCAGGAGAGTGGCCCGAAAGGGGGCCTGACGGGCCCCGACGCTGTCACCGCGGGCCTGGCAGATGCGCGAAAGGTGCACGCTTCTCCACTCCACGGGTATTGCCGCCCCCCCCTTAACTCAGGCGATCGCGAACATGGATCAAGGGGGCGTGGATTAGCGACGGGTGCCGTTTCCATGGGAAATCGCGGATCTCCGCCGCCGAGCGAGGCGGCACAGGCCCTTCTTTTCGGGAGGGCATTTCCCCCGATCCATGGATTTGGCGGCCGCGCGCGCCAAATCCGTGGATTACTAATCCATGTTCGCGCGCGCCCCCGATTAACGAACACCCGAGGTCCCCTCGGAGGTTGTCGAACGTCATTCTCGTTGTTTCCTGGAGATTGTCTCGCCTGGGGGTGCTCTCTGGCAGCTGCGCCTCGCCGAGAGCGTCCCAGGGATGCCGGAGTCGTCCCAAGCGGCCGCCTGAGGACCGAGTCATGGCCCGAAGAGCGACATTCTCGCAATGTGAAAAAAGGCAGACTTTTTTTTTGTTTTTTGTATTTTTCGGCTTCCGGGCCCCTTTGCTGGGACCTGGGGCCGTCAGAACCTTTGGCTGGCCTCCCAGGCCGTCAAAAACGACTAGGGACAAATATCCATATAGGGAAGAGGTCCAGACCTGGACAGCTCCGGACCAGGAGAAATCGCGCCAGAGTTTTCCTGAAGGCTCTGAGAGCGTTCTGGAGTGCTCTGCAACGGCCGCGGTGCCAGATACATTCAAAAAGAACCGCCCGATCCCAGAGATGCCCGACGTGTCCCGGTCCAGTTTTGTCCCCTTCTTGGCTTTGTTTTATGGGCCTCCCCCTCCTCCCGAGCCGAGGATGAGACACATTTTTGTTGTAAATGCATGTTTTGGGGGTGCCCAGAGTCTCCTGGTAGCCGACCCGCCACTTGCTTTTAGTTTCTTTTCTAGCCTCCGTCTTTTCTTTGCCGCATTCTGTTCTAAGGTATTTACCCCCCTGCCGCATCACGTTTTTAGTCATCCTGGTTTTCTTTTCGCACCACCCCTTCCCTCCTCTTCCTTCCGAGCCAAGGATGGCGCACAACCTGTGCTACACCACGCTTGTTCCACCGGAGCAAGCCCACACGATGCCGGCGGACAAGGTGACGAAGACGCCCTGCGGGCCCCACAGATTTTGTCCCGCGCGGCCTCCTGCCTGCTCGAGGCCTCGGAGTTGTGCCGACCCGGGTCTGAAGCCCTTCGACCCCGCTTGCTCGTAGCTCGAAGCTGCGGACTTCACTTTGCATCTTCGGGGGGCCTCGTCTGCCCTACAAATTGCCTTCTTTTTCATGTGCTCGATGCGGGCTCGACGCAGATTCGGCGCGCATTTGACGTGTACAGTGGAGGCCCATGCCAAGAAACACCCTGCTTGCCTCTAGGGTGCCCTGGGTTTCTTGGCCTTCGATGGTTTTGCGATGGAAAGTGTGACGTTCCCACATTAGAAATCAATTGACGTCGCGGGGTCTCAGGGTTGTGTTTCTTGTGGAAGGTTTCTTGTAACTGGCCTCCATTAGAGGGCCACCTGCGAACCCTACCCCTACCCCCCACGGTTTCTGGGTTCACTTCGCTCGGGAGCTCCCGAGCGAAGTGAACCCCACCCTCCCCCTCAGAAACCGTGGGGGGTAGGGGTAGGGTTCGCATATGGCCCCCTATCCATTGTGTTCGACGCGGATTCGACCTCGACTCGACGCAGACCGGACGAGTTCGACACGGACTCGACGCGGACCCGACGCGGGCAGCGGCGCGACGGGACGGACGAGGTCCCCCGAACATGCATCACAACGGGCTGCTTCTGCCTGTCGAGGTGGAGCGGGCCTGGTCCGTTTCTCGGGGGCGGCAAAGAGGGGGGTGATGACTAGGGGGGGGTGGATATCATGGCGGGGGCCATGATATTTCCCCAGATTTCATGGCGCCTCTTCTTATTTCATTACGTCCCTGGCCCTCCCGCTGGGCCGCGCACATGCCGCCGGTCATGATTTGCACCCCCCCCCTTTTGGACTCCCCCCTCCTGGCCGCTCCCGAGTTTCAGACAGAAGGCCGCCTGCCCGACAGTGGCCGCTCTCTGTTTTGGACAACGTTTGTTGCTGGGCATCGTGCCCATTTCTTCCGTACCCATTTCGGGCATCCAACGTAATGTCCCGAGCTTGGGCCCCACCCTCCCTCCAGAAGGCGAACCGAGGTGGGACCACCTCGGCGCGCCTTCCGGAGAGAGGCCGAAATCCGGTGACTGAATTCTTTCTTCTCGTCCTCCATTCCTTTTCCTTGTAAGCAATTTCTCCCTGGCGCACCCCGATGCCAATTTTTAGGGCGGGCTCGGCGTCTCGCCTGACCTTTCCTCATTCCTCACCACTCATGAGCCTGAGTTCTTAAAAAGAGCAGTTTCACGGATTGAGGGCGGGCCATTTTTCAAATGTGGCTCTCGCTTTAGCGCCGCGCATATTCATTTCAACATTTGCGATAATAGTTTCATGGATTGAAGGCGGGTCGTTTTCAAAATGTGGTTCTCGCCTCAGCTCCGCGCACATTCGTTTTCAACAGTCGTGAGTGTTCAGCGAATTGAAGGCAGGTCGTTTTTTTAATGTGGCTCTCGCCTTAGGGTCGCGCACATGCGTCTTCAACATTTGCAAGAGTTTCGCGGATTGAGGGCGGGTGGTTTTCAACATGTGGTACTCGCTTTAGCGCCGCGCACATTCTTTTTTCAACAGGCGCAATAGTTTCACGGATTGAGGGCGGTTCCTTTTCAAAATGTGGTTCTCGCCTTAGCGCCGCGCATATTCGTTTTTACGAATTCCAGTAGTTCCGCGGATCTCCATGACCAGCATACCACAAGTCATGTTTTGAAAACCTTCTGGATCTAGGACAGCGCAACAGTTACGTTGGTTCGTTGTGTAGAAGTGTTCGGATTTGTACTCTGTTTCGATTCATGATCGCCAAGACGCAACAGTCAGGCTGTTCCGTGGCGTTATAATCCCAGGAACATTACTTTGGCATTCTCCAGGGTCTTCAAACGGTTGTCTTCCAAAGAGGCAGCTTCCTCAGTGGGAATGAACCGTTGTAGGGGCCGATGAAAAACGGGAGCCTGGAGGGAGGTTTTCTTCCATTATCGTTGATGACTCTCGGGTTTCCACTGGTCCTCCTCATCCTTGTCCGCCTCCTTCCCCTCCCCCTCCCTCTTCCTCCACCTCCTCCTCTCCCTCCTCCCCCTCCTCCTCCTCCTCGTCCTCCTCCTCGTCCTCCTTCTCGTCCTCCTCCTCCTCCTCCTCCTCCTCCTCCTCCTCCTCCTCCTCTACTGGTAACTCCTCCTACTCTTCCTCCTCTTTGTCACTCGAATCGGATGCCTTGCTGCCATCTGGGCTCGCAGCTCGGGAGCGCATGCACCTGATATCGAAAGGAATGGTATGCATTGCTGCCGCCATGCTGTCTTATCGCCAACCAACCTTCGCAATTCTAGTTGGTAGGGGGGCATGGACCGATCCCAGCTCGCGATCCGCGGAAGACGCGCAGAGTACGATGTGGACGCGCATTCGCACTTCCCTTGCGCTCCGCACTTGTACCACCCTCCAGTCTCTAATGCTTATCTCTGCGGTGCACCGCTTATCGGCCACGCATCACGGTAATTCGCCTGACTCACACCGCAAGTGTCTGGTGTATTGTCTCTTGGGTCACAGATGGCTTTGTGTAGGGATAAGCAGCCGTGCCTCAGCCCCCTCACGATCACAATTTCGTCGGACTGGCAATTGGGGCCATCGTCATACCGCGCAGCTGGGACATTGGTTGGTATCCGATTGGGCGCACGGGTGCTGGTTTTCAAATTAGTCAGCATCCTGCGCATTCCGAGTAGTTTCAGGCTGTTTCGTGGCACTGTTTCATTACTGTCGAGCGTAGCCGAGGGCTCCGGTGCTAGTACAACTGCCCCAATTGGCAGGATGGTATCCGTCCTTGTGCAGGATCGCGTCCAGGGGCACCCGGACGGCAACCTTGCGCAGTCAAGTGGTTTCGTTCGGAGGATCGCCAAATTGGCAGTGTTGGCCAGTATCCTTATCCGCTCCGTGGCCGCCTTGCTCTGGCTGATGTGCACGATGCTTGGAGCTGGGCAAGGCTGGGCAAGGCGGCGGCAGGGGCGGCACCACGTCTCGCCAGCCACCTTCTTGGTCACTAGAACTGGTGACCGCCTTCCCTTTCCGCCTTTGCGTGCGGGACCTGTTCGCCAGGAGCGTACTTTCCACCGACATGAACAACGCCCAGCAGTGTGCTGCCATCGTCCTTAACCTCGGAGGCGCCGCTCGCGATCGGAAAGAGGATTCCTCAACGGACAAACGGAAGACGCCAGTGCGTACCTCATCGCGGACTTCGCGACCCTGCGTGGAGCAAAGGCTAGAGGCCGCCAGGGAACTATTCGAACTTTCGACGCGGCGCAACGAGACCACCGATGCGCTGCTATCGCGGGTCCTCGCACTGCGATTCCGGGAAAGCAAAACGGTGGAGCCGCGATGTCCAGGGAAGGCTGTAACTGGCTGCTTCGATGGGTCGGCGCTGCCGCCGGCCAGCTCATGGCGCTGCCCCAGCCCTGTGGCCACCGATATCCAGTGATCAGCCGTGTTGGTCACATCGTAGAGCATGCGCCCAAAGACATCGCCAGCGCCCCCCGTGAGCCGCCATCTTTCGGAGGCCACGTAGGCATGACCAGCGACAACTGGCACGACGCGCGCGCTGAAGATCCCCGGCGTTCACAAGGGCTCCGCCAATGGGCTGCTGGCGCTGCTGGACACCCGGGCATTGGAGGTGGCAACTCGTGCGCGGGCACTGCTCAGCAGTGCGTTGCGCCGCCGCGGGCCGCGTGTCCTGCCGCCGCGTGGTCGCGGCCCGAGGAAGGAAGCGCCCGCTTCCCTCGAGTGTGCTGTTGGCGCCAGTTCCAGCGCTGGCTCGGTCCTCGGAGGCGCCATGGATTGCGCGACGGGTCAGTTCAGAGGCCCATCCCCAATTCAGATCGATGAATTTTCGGGCATATTAAACACCGCGAGCGTCAATGGCGGCGCCAGCTGAACGAGCCCGCCAGAGAAGCCAGAAATTGTATAAGGAATGATGGGCGTGCGATTGCTGGGAAAGGCGCGAGCAAGGGCGAGGGCGCCCAGAGGCGCGGCGCCCTCGCCGAGCTGGCCGACGACCAGGTCGACCACGTCTTCTTCGGAGGTGGGGGCAAGGGCAGAGGTGAGACCAAGCGATCCAGTGGCAAAAGCAAATGCCGCAAGCTGAGCCCTGGGCGTTGCGGCGGGACGTCGATGGCGCGCAGCATCTGCGCATCGGAGCACCTTCGCCGAGCTGACTCCCCCCAGGCTGTTTCTGGAAGCCCAGGTGCCCAAGGGGGCGGGCGAAGTTTCGGAGGCTTCGCGGGCTCCGGCCCCATCAGCGGCGCCCTGGATGCCAGGCCTTTCCTTCGCATCTCAGACGTTTTCCTTCGCGGCCCCCGACTCCCCCCCGGCGCCGCAGTCGGGGCCCGGCATCTCGCCGGCGCAGTCCGCCACCGAGGTCTTTTGGCGGATGCATGGTTCTTTGTTTGCTACGTCGTCGTCTGCAGTCCAGAGCCACGCGTGCGCCGATGCGCCTGCCGCGCAGATATCGAATCTCGCTGCGCCTATCTTAGGGCGGACCTCGACTGCCTGTGCTGCCGTCTCCCTGGCGCTGCCTCCGCGGCTTGGCGCCGTCGAGTCCATCTCGCCCGGGGGCCCGCGGAGCTCCTAGGTGTCAACTCCATGGGCCCCCCGCGAATTGCAGTCATTAGTCGGCGGGGCGCCGCGTCTCGGCGGATTTGGCCACGCGAGGCTTCGGCGGAGCCAGTCCGGGCAGACCGCTGCGCCTGTCCGACGGCAGCGTCGCGGCTTTCAGCCGCGTGCAGAAGGCGATGGCGAGGGGGGGGGGGGGGGGGCTTCTCAGAAGCGCCGCCCTTCGTAGATGGGTCGGGCGCCCATTCTCAGAAGCTTCTGGGCGCCTCTCAGAAGTTGTTCCTGGCGTGCTTTCCAGTGGTGCGTGGCTTGTTTCTAAGGGGCTGTTCTGCTGCGAGAAACCTTTCGCTGCTTCCGAGAAGCTACTGGGGCGCCTCCGGGGCGCAGCGGGCCCCCGGCTCCCCGGCTGGGCGCTTCGGAGAGGTGGCCGCCTGCAACGAAGCCCCTCCCGCCCCC